AGCTCAACAACAAATCGAGTTTTATCAAGCTAGAATTTCTTGGGCTTTCGATAAAAAGGTCCGACGACGAAGCTTTAAAGAAGGAGATCTAGTCCTTGCTGTTCGAAGACCTATGATTCTCACTTCCAAGAAGAAAGGCAAATTTGAACCTAAATGGGAAGGACCGGATGCTTAAATGATTATATGGGTTGGAACAAGCTAAATAGCTTGATATAATTGTTGCCTCTCTTAAAAATTTTGTTTTGATTTGTTGCTTTGAATTCATTATAATTCACTTATATGATGATATTTATGTGTTTGTGCTAATGGATCATCTATTCGTGCTTTACAATGTATTCTATGAGTGGTTTGATCAAGTCTTACAAAAGAATTTTTTGTTGATCAAACATCATTTTTGGTTTAAATGGTTGATTTATGATTTCATTTGGTTGATTTGTTTTCATTCGAAAACTCTTTTTGCATGATTCTCATGTTTTCTCTCTTTTGATTTCATAAATCTATTTTTTATACATGGTTTTTAGGCTTATATTTTGAGACACCTATTTATCGTGACATATCATTATGTGTTCTCATTATTTCTTGGATGTGAGTGATTTTTAGCATATTCATCTATGCTTACTCACATATGTTTGCCATGATTTTCATTTCATATATTCATGAGGCATTTTAATAGGGGGAGCAATCCCTATATCTTTCTATATTTTTTTACTCACCTATGCTTATTGATAGGGGGAGCTTTCGCTCTCTTAATTCTTTTGTCCCTTTTTGATGTTGTCAAAGGGGGAGAAATATTGTGAGTATATTCTTTCTTGTTTATATATGCATGTGAATTATAATTTATATATTCATTCCCTTTCATGCATATATCATTTTTGTAAATTGTTTGTCATCATCAAAAATGGAGAGATTGTTGGCCTTCTTGTTTTGATGATGTTTAACAAACAATTTACCACTAATATTGTTTGTCTAGTATTTGTGTTTTCTTATTTATTATAGACAAACAACGTTGTTGGAGGATGGATGGAATCGAGCTTCAACGATCATATCCAAAGGAGGTTGGCGGAATAGTGGAGTGAAGCAATGCACATTTAAGTCAAGATCCAAGTTTAAGCTTCATCCGCAAGATTACCAAGATAGAGCTTCGTTGAAGATCAAGATTGCTTGGGTAATTTAGTTTAGGAATTTATATTATGTGTGTTAGTACTTTAAGCTCAATCATATACACACATACACGTTTTGGTTTTTGTATATATATAGTTATATATATACATATATGTTTTGGTTTGATAGTTTTCAAGTTTTACTATGAAACAAATGAATAGAATTGGAAAATACTATTTTGTTTCATGTTTATATGCCTATATATGATTTCATCTTTAACAAGCTTATATTTAATGAAATCATATTTAGTGTTTTGAATATATTGCATAGAATATGCAATTTTATGAAAATATTGCATTTCTAGGTTATAGACTTCATAACAACATATTATATCTTTTATCAAGTCTATACAATCATTTCATAAGGTTCCAAAATGTTGTTTAAGTCAAAATATCAAAATATCAATTTTCAGGTTTTCATGTTTTGGACTATTTTGTAAAATGATGATATTTTTCATTTGGGAAGTCCTTTTTCGAAACCAGTCATTGTAGCATGTTTATTATCATGTCTACAATCATTCCCCAAAGTTTTACATTTTTTGGAATTTATTTGATATTTTTAAACAGTGTTTTAAAATCAGCTCTAAACCGATTTTTTCTGGAATGTCAGTTTTCGGTCGACCGGTACGGTCGACCGGTCAATTGACCATTCGTCAGTATTTTTCCAGAGAGTCATCGGTCGACCGGTCCGGTCGACCGAGAGCTCGCATCGGTCGACCGAGAGCTCAAATCGGTCGACCGACAGAATTTCCGGTCGACCGACGATGGTCCCGAACGTTTTCTTCGTGTTTTTGCTCTCATCGGTCGACCGACGGGATTTTCGGTCGACCGACAATATGACCGTTTGGCTACTAACGGCTATTTCTGAGCTGTTTCTCTGGGGGCTATTTTGTCATTTGTTTTGGGGGTTTTTGCTAAGATCTTTAGAGACTATATATACCCCATTGCTGATGTCTTTTCAGATTGATTAAGAGAGTTTTAAAAACAAGTTTAAGAAAGTTTTTAAACAAGGGTTTTTGGGTTTCTGTTTACAAAGGAGGAAGTTTTCACTGCAGATTGAGGGATTCATTCTCAATCCCCTTCATCCTCTTCTTTGTGTTCTTAGAGAAGTTTTCTAACTCTTTTATCTAGCAATTTTTATTGATTTATCATATATTAATTATTGCTAGTTTGATATTTGAGTTAGATTTCATTTTACTCATTGTTACACACACCCACATTGAGCTTTTAGTATTTACATACATAGTATAGTTGGGTGGTGAGAGTTTGTAACTTTGAGTTGTGCTTAATTGTGTTCTCATCTATTGTAGAGAACAATCATTTGTTATATTGTGCTTATTGTGAGATTCACTTTGTAATACACTTGTACACCGAGCGAGGAGTGTGTGGTGAGAGTCGGGGATCGTCCCAAGAGGAGTGGCGTCGGTTGACGTGCCTAGGGAGAGGTTGTAACCGAGCACTTGAGGGAGACACGGCTAGGTCCAACACTTAGTGGGTGTAGAGTGTGATTACAATAGTGTGTTGATTGTAAATTTCGGTTAGCTAGAAAACCGAGTGTGTGAGGTGTAAACGTTGTTCGGGTGAACGTAGAAAACCCGGTTGATAGTGGATTTCTCCCCGGGAGTGGGGAGCGGAGACGTAGGACGGAAGGTCCGAACTCCGTGATCATCTTTGTGTGTTTGTGATTGTCTTGGCGTCTCACTTGTGCTTATTGTTCATATCATTCTTGTCGCCATTATCTATTGTTCACATTGTCCACTATCTTGTTTATCTTGTTTATGTTTATATCACCCTTAGTTTATATATCCTTGCATATATATTTCATCATATAGGATATATCACTTTGTGTATATTGCATATTCTTGCCCATAATAGATTGTATACCTATCTTACAAGAATAAAGTTGTTAATTATTTTTAATTGGCATTTAATCGGATTAGATTAGCATAAGACCCTAATAACCCCCCCTCTAGGGTCTAACACAAACAAGAGACTAGGAGATAGAATATAAAATTCTTCCTCTCCGATTCCGGGTTTATCTCTACCGACAAACAAGAGATTGAGAAACGGAATATGCAATTCTTTTTCTCTCCAATTCCGGGTTCATTTTCCTGTGTAGGAAATATAACATATTCTCATTCTAAAATCCATGTCGTTCGCACATGGGGGATGTTATCTCTATCCCTTATTAGAGATAAGCCTACATCTAACACATGTAGCCTACATATTCAATATGATAGTTTAAAGTCTAAAAGAGTTTAATTCTTTTAGCACAACGTTATATGTGAAACGGACTTAGATAATTCACATACTAGCCCGACTCAAACGGTAGTTGGTAAAGGCATATCAAATCCGTTGATGGCTGAGGATTTGCCAAAAATTCTATAAGTATTGTGATTATTTATTCTTAACAAGAACGAGTAATCATAATAAAATATCAATAACCAAAATAGTTCACTATATTAACCAAAAGAGTTTAAACAAGACAGCATAAAAAAAATAAATAAATGTATGTTCTCAAAATTACAATAATTTGTAATGGCGGAGTTCATCTTCTAATTGGGAAAGCCTTGTCGCAAAAGCCAACTCGAGCTCAGGTATCAGATTTGCTTTAAATTTCCTTTCATCGATGCTTCGGATTTTGGCGGCTTCTTGTTCCTTGTCAGCAAAAATCTTGTCCTGAAGATTCAGTTGTCGGAGTGTAATCACCTCGGCTTGAGTTACCTCCGCTAGATCAGACTCCAAAAATTCACAAGCATCCTTAGCTTCGGCAAGTTGCTTTTCTAAATGAGCTATCTCTGCCCGACGCGACTCCAAGTCACGATACATGTCCACCTTTATTTGTGCCTTCTTGGCAACACTCACCTGGAGTTGATTGATGCGAGTTTTAACTACTTGAAGTTCAGATTCAACGGATTTTTGAGAATCACGCCATACTTGCAGCCTCAGGTCCATTTGAGAAGCGATATAAGAAGGCGCGCCATTAGCTCGGAAATTCTGTAACTGCTCGATGTGTTGTTTAAGATCAACCAAATAAGCTTCAAGGGAGTTAGACAATTCGGTGCACCCCTGTTCTTTAATTCCTGACACATGGTGATCGAGAGACTTCTTGAAAAGTTCAAATGGTGAACCTTTAAGGAGAATTCGATCAACCATGGCGTTTAAGAAAAGAATGAAGCTTTGGATGTCAATACAAAGGGAAATTTTGTCCGGATCTTCACCTGCCAATAAAGCTCGAATGCAATCGGACAATGATGAAGAAAGATCTGCAAAGAGAAATAGATATAAAATATACACGTTCGCATACGGCAATGAGTAGAATTATCCCAAATTCAAAGTGTGATTACCTTGACTTGTCGAGGCTGAGACCTGCTCCACGACATCCGAAGTTTGTGTAGAGGTAATGCTGGGCGGTGGATTCATTACATCAAGCTGTTGTTCAATTACAATTTTTGACGACTTCGGGTCTAAGTCGCCAAGGTCTTGAGGAGCAAGTTCTGTCAATGAGAAAAGAATGAATAAACACTTCACAAGTATTAATCTAACTGCGAAGCACAATTAGATAAGACGTACCAAGTTGAGCTGAAGTAGCAGGAGGTTGCTCTTCTACCATAACATTCGACCCTCCTACTTCATGATCCACTGGAATCGGAGTGAAAGGCACAACAGGTCCAGCTTCGAAGTGGAAGTCGAAGGAGCAGCGGCTGGTGGTTCAACTTCAGCTGGAGGACTTGCCAGAAGTAAGAAACCCAAACCTTCAGGTTGATCACATTCACCAATGACGGTAGATGCATCAACTTCGTTGGTTGGTCCTCTTCAAGAACAATAACAGATGAAAGTACAGTTGAAAACTGGAGTCTAAAAGGGTATACCTTTTGATGCATCTGCTTCAGCTGAATCAACTCGAGTAGTTGGTCCTGTAGTAGCGGATGGAACCGGAGTCGATAGTATATCGGAGATCTCCTGGTGTACATCTTCAGAAATGTCAAGATCGAAGTCTCGCTCATCGAAATCTCCGATACCCATATCATGGGTAAGTTCTATGTCTTTCGGTTCGTTGACAGGGATGTCTATTAAGCAGAAAAATCTGTCAACATATATGCAAGAAATATGAAAGAATCAAAACAAATAAAGTGAGATTACCTTCAACAATAGTTGCGGGATTAGCAGCGCTACTACCCGCACTCACCTCCTTTAGTTTAACTAAAAGAAGATAAAGCGCACAAGTTAGTAGGAGAGGAACACGTTCTGATTCACTTATCTTCCGAAAATGTCCCCCAAAAGAGAAAACATCAGTACCTGTATCTGCGGTTGGCGAGGTCGATGTGGTGGCTGGAGGAGGAACAATGTCCATATGAAGGGGTTCCTCGTTCATAGCCTTGTGCACTTGTTCAGTGAAGCTAGATTCATCAACATCCATTAAACCCGGAGAAGAAGGCTCGGGCACGATTTCCCCTTCCTCTTCTGGCTCAGCTATAATGGCAAAGAGAGAAATAAGACGCTATATTCAAAGGTGAAATAATAAAAAAAATGATGAAATCTTACCCTCTGGAAGATCCTGAGTAAACTTCTCCTCAAATAACGGAGAAAGTTGGCGTTCCCGATGAGCCGTCTTTTTAATCCTCTTCGAGGCACGAGAATCTCGAGGAACCTCAGAGCTCTCATGTCTAAACTTGGTACGCAATTCGGTTCCTTGAGCCGGCTGAGGTTGAGCTTCAGAAGGAGCAGTAGGCCGAGATCTTTTCCTGCTAAGAAGTGGGGCAACCTCTTCTTCTTCTTCTTCTGCCTCTTCCTCCTGAGCAGGCCATCTCACGGTCATCTTATTGGAGGATGATAGGGGAATGTTCTTTTCCTTCATTCTAATACCCTTTGAAGGAGCACCAGGTGATTTGGGCGAAGAAGCTCGACGAGTTCTGTGAGCCACAGGAGACAGGGGGACATCAGCTTCTGCTTCATCTCTAGTCTCATCCTCCTCACTAGATGTTTCGAAGTCGTCGCTCTCCTCGGAATCAACTGCTTGTTTTCCTTTACGAGAAGAGGTAGCGGGCTCCTTGTCCTTTTTAATAATTCTCCGAACCACAGCCTCGGATTCCAGTTCGGAAAGCTTCTTCTTTGCAAGAGGAGTGTTGGCGGCTAAAACCCACCGACAGTAGAGGAAAGTTAAATGAAGGCCAGGCTCAGCGACAGGTAGACTAAATTGAGCTCCGGTACACCCGGCAACATTCCAGAACCAGGCTCGTACTCCATCAATGAGGCTCCCGCAGGTTATCAACCATCTGTTGGGATTCCCGACGTACAGTTGATCGTAACCAAATTGTCGCGCAAAACGGCAAGGAAAATAAGGCTCAATCCTGCAAAGGTTCTTCGACCGAAAAACATTATAGCCTGGGCGAATGTTCATGAGCCAGTGGAAACTACCCATGTCGAGAGAGGTCCTGTCAGCCCCAGGCATCTCCTCGTCAACAAGAGTGTCATTATAGGCACCAGAAAACTGAGGGAAACACTTGTAAAATTCCCAGCACTTGGCATTCTTGAATTGCCTCACCCGGTCAATCCACGGTCGGGAAGGATATAACCACTTACATCCTTCTAAGAGCTGCAACAAGGGGATTTCTGGATCAGACGCGTCAGGTGCTGACATCATGTCCGCTCGATGGAGAACTAGCCACGCCATTAAATATGTGTACGGCAGTTCGACACTCGACAATGGAATTTTAATTGAAGGCTCGGCACCCACTTTGGTAAAAGTGGTAGCTAGGTTACGCAAACCGCTATGGAGGTCAGCAATCATAGCGGAGAGTAAGGATAACCTACCTCCAACGGCTAGTTGTACGGCGGGAAGAAGAACCTCAAGAGGAAGCGCCTCCGAAGACTGATGCGGCACTACACATTTCTTTAGCCATATGGCCAGATAACCAGCAAGAAGAGTCGCAGGCTTCATTCTCTTGGTGGCTTGCCACAAGAAGGTGCTGAATTTAGTGCCCTTAAGAAAACCGCCTTCAGATGACTCGGTTCTATAAGATTGGGCATTAATCTTCGTAATCAGCCTGTTAACGTCCGAAGGGGTCAGAATCGGTGATTCGCAGACAGCTTCACCGGTCGGGCTCTCGAGATTCTGAAACAAATAGTGAGCGAACTGTTTTAAACTAACTCGAGCTGCCTTCTTACTCTTTACTTCAATCTGGGCTATCGCTATCTGATAGTGACAAGTTAATTCCCAGAGTATGTCATAAGCAGGAGAGCCAGCCTTCTTCATCTTCATGAGCTGACGATTGTTGGGAAAATATTCTTGATAAGGAGTGTTCCCCAATGGCAGTCCAGATACTTGCATCATTTCGTGGAGCGGAAGCCCTAACTCCCCATACTTGGTAAGAAGAATATAAGACTCAAATAAAGCAAGGAAATGATCTACGCTGACTGGAAGACCATGCATGCTGGCTCGGATCGGAGCATATAACCCCAAATTCCTTAACTCTTGATCCCAACGATTGAGTACATACTTGGTCATCCTAGCCCACCATTTGTCGGGAAAAGAATGAACTCATCCATAACATCTAAATTTTGGAATGGGGAATTCTCGGCCAACCCGAGCGAGCCTATTCTTTACAGTATTGGCCCTTATCATCAGTTCGTTCTGGGGCCCGCTATCTGGTCCAAATATTCCTGGGTGAAGGCCACGGACATTATGCCTGCCGGTGGAACCAGGAGCACTGACATCATTGCCAATAAATCCACAATGGATATGCTCATGGTCTTCTGTTAGATGCCACGCCATTTTTCTCGAAACAGCCAGATTCCTTAATTGCAGAATTGAATATTGACGAGAGAATGGAGGAAGAAATAGAAAAGAACCTTCATACTCATTCAACCAAATTTCAGAGCCACGGCAGAGATTGTCTGGATCTTCTATCGAATCTCCGAACAGATAGTCAGGCTTCTTCAACGGTTCGGTAGAATCTCTAGTTGGATTTAAGGGCGAGTCGGTCAGCAAAGCACGCAGAGTGCGGCGACCTCCCTCGCGAATCAACTCCGGAACTTTATTATCACAATCTTCACTAAATTGGTGGGCCTCTCTAACCAAAAAGTCGCCGCGAAAGGAGGCGTGAAGGGTACCACTCTGGCCTGGGTCTTCTCTATCAGAGAAGGCCACAGAGGGAAAGGGGACTACAAAGAAAAGTTGGAAAAAAATTGAACAAAAAGGCTAACAGACGAGAAAACTCGCACTAAGCAGCCGCGACAGACGTGGCCGGCGCGCGTTACCGCGGCAGCATACACTGTCGCGTTCAGGCGCGACGGCACGAGCTGCCGCGGTAACTGAGCAGCGGCCTTTGATGTTGAAAAGACACGAGTTCGATGAAAACGCGCATTTTAACTGTGGTACATACCTCGATTGAACAAGGTATGCGTGTCGAAGTGTCAATCCCCTCGGTGGGGGATGTCAACTCTTCTCGAATGCCTCTCAACGGAGATAAACGAGGTTATATGCACAAAATCGACAGTTTCAGAGAAGACAAGTGGAAGAAACTTACCCCCAAAGGAAGGAACTGCAGCCTCAACATCCTCAGGTGCTGGTGCCGCTGATTTTCCCTTCGAACCACGAGTCTTCTTTGGAGACATAGTGAGACCGGCCTAAAGAATCAAAAAACTAGGGTTTTTGTGAGATCCCAAACAAAAGAACGGAATCGGACCATAAAGCATAAGATGCAGGGGCGATTTTTACCTGGGATTAGAAGAAATCAAGTTAAGAAGAGATCAAAATCAACGAGGAGTCAAAACCCTAGATCTCAAGAAAACCCTAGCACCCGAATAGGAAGAGTTGAAAGAGGGGAAAGCCAGAAAAAATCCCTTTATAGGGTTTTGAAGAGGTTGTTTCGAACTCAGAGAAGCGGGGAAAAGTGACCCGAAGAAGCCCAACATCAGTCTTATAACCCGACTGACTGAGGCGCTGCGCGGCACAAGATGCTGTCGCGCTCGAGCGCGACAGTCTATGCTGCCGCGCTCAAGCGCGACAGTATAAGCTGCCGCGGCAGCTAACCCAATAAGATCCACTTCGACATACAGAAACATGGTGCATACATGATAATTCTTCGGTGTTTGAACACATACATCTCCCTCTGTATTTGGAATACATTCCCGGACACTCCGATGAGTATATGAGTATAAACTGCATCTCCTTAAACCTCCCAACGGGTATATGAGATTAAACTATTTCCTGAACACTCCAATAGAGTATATGAGTATAAACTATTTCCCCAATTTTCAACAACGGTTCTGATTCAAGACTTCGACAACGGCCACGCGATAAACGCAGCACCGGAGGAATCTTAAAAGATAAAGAAGTCAAGAATTGAAGCCATTCACAGACCATTCTACGCAACTTCCTCAACAAAGCACTGGAGAAATTGCAAGGAAAGCTTATCATATCCAAAGTGTCCCAGACTCCTCTCTAAAAATGATGAGTCTGAGATACTTTGGAGGGGGTATCTGTAGGCGTCAAAAAATGTTTACGGACATCCAAACACCTCTTAAGACAAGATAGAAGAACAATATACACATCATCAGGCAACACAACGCAGCGCCTCAGGACAAGGTGCCGCGGCTAAGGCGCGGCAGTCCAGGGTGCCGCGGCCAAGGCGCGACAGCCAATGGTGCCGCGGCCAAGGCGCGGCAGCCAATGGTGTCGCGGCCAAGGCGCGGTAGTCCAAGGTGCCGCGGCTAAGGCGCGGCAGCCCATGGTGTCGCGGCTATTATGAGAGGTATTGTGGCAGTTGTGAGGCAGTTATTCGATGATTTTTTGGAGTCCACGTGGCGGAATATCAGAAATAGAACGTGTGCTGACGTGGACAAGCGGTTAAACCACGAAAAAAGTGGTTAAAAGTCGTGGGAGAGCGGTTTCAAGCACGATGAAAGGATGGCACTCTTATTATCACAGTAGAGAGGAGTAGGAGTCGTAACAGAAATACCGAAATCACTGAGAAGGCGACGAAGATGAATAATCTCTTTAGCTGTTGTGGACATTGCACGATACTCTGCCTCAGTACTGGAAAGAGCAATAACATCTTGTTTCTTACTTCGCCAGGAAATAAGGGAATCACCAAGAAATATACAATAACCTGTGGTAGACTTTCTGGTAGTTGGATCACCAGCCCAATCAGCATCAGAATATGCACAAAGCTCTAACTTAGATGTAGCAGGAAACAAAAGTGAGCGAGTGCTAGTACCCCGGAGGTACCGAAGAATCCGTAATAAGACAGCATAGTGTACAGAACGTGGGGCACTAACAAATTGACTGACAATACCAACAGCATGAGAGATATCTGGTCGAGAGATGCACAAATAGACCAACTGACCAACAAGATGTCGATATCGGGTAGGATCAGATAGAGGCTCACCGTCAGTAGAGCAAAGTTTGACATTCTGCTGGAGTGGAGT